AGTCAAGTGCCATAGGCACTGTGTTACCAGAGCTCTCCTTCATAGACATACCTAATAGTTCAGCCTGTCTACCCATGTATCAACCCATAGATCAGTGTTTGCCTTCACTGACAACTCAGTACTGTATGTGCCTTTTTGTGCTTTTGTTATTTTGCATATTTATTTCTGGAGAGGACCTCTCAAGTTACTTAATCTAAAATTGTCATTTTAAAATTTGAGAAATTAAAGTACAGAGGTACTCGGCTTTTTTGGCCAAGATCACACAGATTGCAGGGCAGGGTCTGTGATCCAGTTTTTCTGTCTCCCAGGCCTGTGCTCCTTCCAGTAGACCACATTTCCCGGTACTCATTCTTGAAATATAAGGCATAGGTGTCAGCTCTCAATATGTGCAAAAATTAGATAAAAACAGCAGTCCATTTCTAATGGATTAAATGTATGCTGTTGATACATTATTTTGATTTAAACATATGGTGAAAATTGGAAAACAGTTTTATATTCTTTGTATAATAGGTCTGGATAAAATTGAATTTCTACAAAGCCATGAAAATCAGGAAATTTACCAAAAGGCTTTTGATCTAATCGAACATTACTTTGGTGTAGAAGATGACGACCCCAGCATTGTGCCTCAGGTGGATGAAAACCAACAACAGTTTGTATTTCATCAGCAGGAAGCGCCCATGGAAGGGTTTCAACTTTAACTTGCTAGTGGTGGGGGTGGAGGTAATTGTTTGGAAACTTCTGGTATCTCTTCTTTGTCATGTCAGTAGGAATGTTTGATGTTTTTTACACAGAACAGAAAAGAAAGCAGTTGATGCACTTTTAAAAACCAAAATGAAACAAAAGTTTCCATTTAGATGCAACCTTTCGTTATAGCTTTTTTTTGGTATGTGTATTTATTTATGTCTTTTGTTTTGGATTTTTGTATCTGACTTATGAATAATTAAAAACATTATATATTTAATAATTTAGCTTGAAAAGGAGAACTTTGGTCAAGTATTATATAATAGTGCTAAATTTTTTCAAGCATTCTTAGAAACTGCACATTAGCAGTTCAGCTATTGATAATTGCATTTTGGCAGTATGTTTGACATGCCCAGTCTCTACTAAATCTACCTCTATGTTGAAGCAAAAAAAAAAAAAAAAAATAGACAAAAGCTTCAGAAGCATGAAATAGCATAAAAGCTAATTAGAATGTAAAAATATTTATTACCTTAAATTATAAATCACTGTGTTGTAGCTTATACTTTGCAAAAAAAAAAAAAAGGAAAATTCATGAAGTTTATTTACAAAACTGAAGAAATAGTATACTGATAATCAGATACCTATTAAAATGTGGCGACTGTGAAGAAAGAAGCTGTTCTTCATATTGAACACATTAAAAAGATTATAAAACATTTAATTATTTGTGGTTTTAATTTAATAAATACTGATATTTAGTATATTTTGTATTTTGACCAAATACGCTATCACTTTTGGGGTAGTTTTTTATTATTTGTTCACTTTTCATTTTTAAGAGCTCATGACAGATACCATCATAAATCAAAGCAGTGCTGAACAGCAAAAACAATACTGTAATTCTTTCTCTGGTATTTGAGATTACTAATTGGAAATTTTCACTTTCTGGGTCATAATGAACTTAGGTACTTGAATGACAGATTATTTTGAAGAAATCACCTTGTTGTATATTAAATTTTATTACATACATTTCATGTTTTGACAAAAGTTGATAATGAAGTTGCTAAGAATTCTTTAATATGGTTGAAATACATATTAGAATTTTTCCTGCTGCTTGTTATGAACCAAGCACATTGGATTATGTTTGTATCACATTGATCACTATAATGTGTGTTGTTTCATGAATTAACAGCCAAACCTCTTAAAACTATGAAAATTTAAAAAAGTTACAGTAGATAATGTTATATATGTATTTATAGATACATATATTTGTGTGTCTGTGTTATTCTCCCAGTACAGTGCTTGACTTAATTTTTTAAGCAGTTATGGTACTGCTGAACTCAGTCTTAAAGTTATTATATTCAGGCTATTTACATTTCCAGTTATATACCTATTCAAAATGTAGTTTACAGCTATTTATGATGGGAGCTAAAGCAGTTTGATATGACTCAGTCTGTTCTACAAAGAAAGCTTTCCTCTGTGGAAGCATTTATCATGTTTTGCTGGAAATCAGAGGCATGTTACTAGTGGAAAGTGGATATAGTATGACACTTTATAATAAATTATATATCATGAAATTAAGCTTTTAGCAAGACACTTAAAATCTATAGCTATAAAATACAGGTTTAAATGGTGTCCATAATGCTAAATGCATCTGCCACACTTTTTATATTCTTAAGTAGAGGACTGTATTTGTGCCCTTTTTATTGTAGTGGAAATATGATATTTAGTATAAACAGTTTCTCTTTTGCATTATGTATACTCTAAAGAACAGGGTAATTATATTAAAGATTACCACATTGATGGTGAATTTATCAGATGAACACTGTGGTGCAGATGGTTCTAAGTATCAGGTAACAGGGTATTCCACTCTTTCTAATTTAATTTTGATAATGCAGCATAATTCATAAACTAACCAGCTGTGCCTGCTTCTATTTTGAGGACCCTGTAGTCAGTATCAAGAGCCCTGGTGGTACAGTGGTTAAGTGCTTGGCTGCTAACTGAAAGGCTGGCTGTTTGAACCCAGCAGCTACTCCAAGGGAGGAATATGTGGCAGTCTGCTTCTGTAGAAATTACTGCCTTAGAAACCCTATGGAGTTCTAGTCTGTCTGGGTCACTATGACATTGACTTACCTGCATTGGGATGGACAGTCACTATAATAAATCTCTAAGCCAAATCTTTTAAACAAAATAGTTCTTATGGAGGAAAATTAACATGTGTGTGTATACATACATGCACACACATAGAATGCCTTTCAGGAGAGGATTTTAAAATTTTTGCTGGTAAACTCCGTATCTCTGAGTAGGGATTATAATTATTCTTTAGTATCTCTGAGTAGGGATTATAATTATTCTTTAAATATTATGTATTATTAAATTTCTTGAGTCTGTAACATTTATTAATTTGATTAGAGTTGAATACAAAAG